GGTTGCGGTGAGCCTGGGTGACAGAGTGAGACTCCATCTCAAAAATAAATAAAACATTTTTAATTTGAAAACACCTAGCACAGTACCTGCCACACTGGTCGGCAGTTGGTGCACTATTAACTTCCTTTACTTTTCTCCCTGCCAGACTAGCAAAAGCTGGCCCCACTCAACACGGGTGACTGCTGGCCAGCTGCATCCTCCATACCTGACTCTCCAAGATGTGGTCTCCTGGAAACCCGACACTGAGTTGGCCAAGGGGAGGGGCTCATTTGGTCTGAGATTCCCCAAACCCCAAGGGTGCTTGCACTCGGACTCAGGGAAAACTCTTACTGGGGGCAGTGTGAGGGAAATTCTGGAGGAGAGCTGTTATAGAACGTTACTTCTCAAGATGTAGCCTGAAGATCGCTGCATCAGAATTACCTGGGGACTTGTTACAAATGTGGATACCTGGGTTTCACTCCAGACTACGGAATTAGAATTATTCCCTAAAGGGCTGAGTGTGGTGGCTCATATCTGTCATCCCAGCACTTTGGGAGGCCAAGGTGGGTGGATCACCTGAGGTCAGGAATTTGAGACCTACCGGCGAACATGGCAAAACCCCATCTCTACTAAAAATACAAAAATTAGCCAGGCGTGATGGCGGGCACCTATAATCCCAGCTACTAGGGAGGCTGAGGCAGGAGTGAATCGCTTGAACCTGGGAGGCGGAAGTTGCCGTGAGCAGAGATCGGGGGCTGTTGCACTCCAGCCTTGGCGATAGAGCAAGACTCCATCTCAAAAAAAAAAATTATGCCCTAAAGTTTGAAAACTACTGCCCTAGGGCTCAGATCAGGCTAGGGTTGCCCTTGAATACCCCAGGAATTCCAGTGCACCAGTTCCTAATGTTGCAAGGACATCTCTGTTAGAGAGGAAAGGAGAATTGCAAGAGGTAAAATTAGGTACACTCAAGTTCACTGCTGCAGTGTAACCCCAAAACCACTAGAGGGCAGGGCACACACAGACTTGCAGACAGAAAAAGTAGTGCCTGCTCAATCTAGGTAAACTGAGACCAGTGCAAAGAACAGATAGACCCAGCCAATTCTATTGGTACTAAGAAGCAGACACTACCTCCTGACCATCAAAAACATATCCTCTGGTCCGAGCGCGGTGGCTCAAGCCTGTAATCCCAGCACTTTGGGAGGCCAAAGCCAGGGATCACCTGAAGTCAGGAGTTCGAGACCAGCCTGGCCAACATGGTGAAACCCCATCTCTACTAAAAATACAAAACTTAGCTGGTGCAGTGGTGGATGCCTGTAATCCCAGCTACCCTGGAGGCTGAGGCAGGAGAATCACTTGAACCCGGGAGGTGGAGGTTGCAGTGAGCTGAGATCATGCCACTGCACTCCAGCCTGGGTGACAAGAGAGAGACTCCATCTCAAAAGAAAAAACCAAAATCAAAGCTGGGGTTGTGCAATTGTGACAGGAAACTTCATTCCCCAGGTGAAAAAAAAGTGCACAACCAAGGAGCCCAGAGAACACTGGTTTCATTTCGTTTTATTTATTTTTTTGAGATGAAGTTTTGCAATTGTTGCCCACGCTGGAGTGCAATGGTGTGATCTCTGCTCACTGCAACCTCCACCTCCCGGGTTCAAGCGCTTCTCCTGCCTCAGCCTCCCAAGTAGCTGGGACTACAGGCACCTGCCACCAGGCCCAGCTAATTTTGTATTTTTAGTAGAGACAGGATTTCTCCATGTTGGTCAGACTGGTCTCGAACTCCCAACCTCAGGTGATCCTACCGGCTCAGCCTCCCAAAGTGCTGGGATTACAGGCGTGAGCCACCGTCTCCAGCCTATTTTTTAAATTATTATTTTTTGAGATGGATCTTGCTCTGTTGCCCAGGCTGGTGTGCGTGCGATCTCGGTTCACTGCAACCTCCACCTCCCAGGTTCAAGCAATTCTCCTACCTCAGCCTCCCAAGTAGCTGGGATTACAGGCACCCACCATCATGTCCAGCTAATTTTTGTATTTCTTGTAGAGATGGGGTTTCACCATGTTAGCCAGGCTGATCTCGAACTCCTGACCTCAAGTGATCTGTCTACCTTAGCCTCCCAAAATGCTGGGATAGCAGGCGTGAGCCACTGTGCCCAGCCAAGAATACTGGTTTTAGAATCAGACAGGCCTGGGTGTGAGTCCTGGCTCTATTGCTTCTTATCTTCTTACATGACCTTGAGTGAGTTACCTAAGGTAGTCAGTCATCTTCCTTATCCTAAAATGGACATAAACGTATCTTCCTATGCTGGGCACGATGGCTCATGCCAGTAATCTTAGCACTTTGAGCCCAGGAGTTTGAGACCAGCCTGAGTAACACAGGGAGATCCTGTCTCTATAAAAAATACAAAAAATTAGCCACCGCCTGTAGTCCCAGCTACTTGGGAGGCTGAGGTGGGAGGATCACCTAAGCCTGGGGAGGTCGAGGTTGCAGTGAGCTGTGATCAAATCACTGCACTGCAGTCTGGGCAACAGAGTGAGATCCTGGGTCAAAAAAATAAAAACATGGCCAGGTGCGGTGGATCACACCTATAATCCCAGCACTTGGGGAGGCCGAGGCGGGTGGATCATGAGGTCAAGAGATCGAGACCATCCTGGTCAACATGGTGAAACCCCCTCTCTACTAAAAACACAAAAAATTAGCTGGGCATGGTGACGTGTGCCTGTAATCCCAGCGACTCAGGAGGCTGAGGCAAGAGAATTGCCTGAACCCAGGAGGCGGAGGTTGCGGTGAGCCGAGATCGCGCCATTGCACTCCAGCCTGGGTAACAAGAGCAAAACTATGTCTCAAAAAGAAAAAAAAAATTGTTCTACCTGTGAACCTAAAAAAAAAAACCCAGAAAACAAAATGGCCAGGTATGGTGGCTCACGCTTGTAATCCTAGCACTTTGGGAGGCCAAGGCGGGCAGATCACGAGGTCAGGAGATAGAGACCAGCCTGGCCGACATAATGAAATCCTATTTCTACTAAAAATGCAAAAAATTAGCTAGTGGCGGGTGCCTGTAATCCCAGCTACGTGGGAGGCTAAGGCAGGACAATCGCTTAAAGCTGGGAAGTGGAGGTTGCAGTAAGCCAAGATTGTGTCACTGCACTCTAGCCTGGGCAATAGTGTGAGACTGTATGAAAAACAATAAAAAGAAAAAAGAAAAAAACAAATCTTTTTTTTTTTGAGACAGTCTCACTCAGTAACCAGGTGCCTCAGCCTCTCAAAGTGCTGGGATTACAGGCATGAGCCACCACGTTCAGCCTAAAACAAATCTTCTTAAAAGGGTAGTAAGGATTACACAAAACAGGTGGAAAATGCTAAGAGGTGACTGGATCCTAGGAAATGCTCCCATACATGCTGGTTGTAAGTTATTACTGCTCAAGGTCATATGACCAAGCACATCAGAGGCTCCAGCTGCCCGTGAAGAAAGAGGAGACAGATGAAATCACATCCTGCAGGAGCCATTCCTGTTTTCTCCCTCATCAGGCCTTTTGTTTTCTTAAGTGCCTTTCTGGGATCTTCACACCTGTACACCAAACTCCTACAAGAGACAAACTCTCTCCTAAGAGGGAGACAACGAAACAAGGCCAGGCTGGGCTCAGTGGCTCACGTCTGTAATCCTAACACTTTGGGAAGCTGAGGAGGGTGGATCACGAGGTCAGGAGTTGGAGACCAGCCTAGCCAACATGGTGAAACCCTGTCTCTACTAAAAATACAAAGATTCGCGGTGCATGGTGGTGTGTATCTGTAGATCCAGGTACTCGGGAGGCTAAGCCAGGGGAATTGCTTGAACCTGGGAGGCGGAGGTTGCAGTGAGCCAAGATCGTGCCACTGCATTTCAGCCAGGGCGACCGAGCAAGATTCTGTCTCTAAAAAAGAAAAGAAACAGGGCCAGTGGTTTTGCTGTAGACAATGGTCTATCTGTCCTGCAGATGAGTCACAACTGCCACCATGCAGTTTTGGTGCCAGCTCTCTGGTTTCTATTCCGTGTCCTGTGCCTCGCCCTCCCCCCAGCCACAGTGCCATCTGCAAGGCTCTGACCGCAGCTGGCAGGCTCAGTGGTACAGCAGAGACCATCTTCAGCAGGAAGTCTTGGGGAACGTTTCCTCCCCAAAACGCCAGGCCTCTGGGCCTGGGCCATTTCTCTCCCTCAGACATCTCAGGGTTTTGTTTTTTTAAAGGCAGTAGGAAGGCTGTCAGGAGGGAGTGCTCCAGAACAGAAAGAAGTCTGACACCAGCTTCTGAGTCTCCATTCTGCCACACGGACAAGCCTCTTCAGCAGTTCTTGGTCAATACCTGTAAAATATAAACAGTAATAACTGTCCCCACTGCTTCACAGAATGTGCTGGGAGGGCCAAATGGTTTGTTCCTGTTGAAGTACTTGGGAAGATTAATAAGCTCCTTCCTGTGGAAGGCGGCATGGAGGCGCCAAGGGGATTCCATGTCAAAGTCCCAGTTGGGGCCGGGTGCGGTGGCTCACGCCTGTCATCCCAGTCCTTTGGGAGGCCGAGGCGGTGGATCACTTGAAGTCAGGAGTTCGAGACCAGCCTGGTCAACAGGGTGAAAACCCTCCTCTACTAAAAAATACAGAAATTAGCCGGGCGTGATGGCGGGCGCCTGTCCCAGCAACTTGGGAGGCTGAGGCAGGAGACTCGCTGGAACCCGAGAGGTGGAGGCTGCAGTGAGCCGAGATCGGGCCAGTGCATTCCAGCCTTATGACAGAGCCAAACTCAGTCTCAAACAAAAACCAAAAAAAAACCAAAGACAACAACAACAACAAAAACCCGCAGAAATCCTGCAGAAAACCAGTTGTGCCCCTGGTTGCGCAGCTAGCACTTTCAGTAAAGGCTGGCATCTCCGGGCACAGCCTCCCCGACCCGCGCGCCGGCGCTAGCTGGAGGGGAGAGGGAGGGGTGGAAAGGCGGCGCCGCCCTCCGCCAGGCCGGCTGGAGCTGCCGGGAGACCCGCGCGGCCCCGGGAGGGAGAGGGGAGCCTGGCGGAACAGCGCGAGAGGGCGCGGGCAGGAAGCGGAACGGGGGACGGGGCCCCTTGGGGCCCCCGCCCCGGCCCGCCCCGGCCCGCCCCAGCCCCCGGAGCCACGTGCGCATGTTTCCGTGCCGGGGCAGTCACGTGACCCGCGTCAGCTGACCCGTCACGGCGGAGCCCGGTGCCCGCGCCCGGCAGCCTCTGCCCCGCCGCGCCCGGAGCGAGCGCAGGACCCGCGGAGGATAAGCGCGCCCCGCCCCGCTCTTTTCATCGCCGGCCCCCCGCCGCCGCCCTGCGCCCGCCCCAGCCCTGCGGGCCTGGCACCCGGAAGCCGTCGCCAGCAGCGCCGTGGCCGGGCGCAGTCCCGCGCTGCCCCCGGGCGGCCCGGAGGAGATGGCCCAAGGGAGCGGGGGGCGGGAAGGCACCCCGAGCACCCCGGCCGGGGGCTGGTACCCGCTCCCAGGCCCAGACATGCGGGAGCTGCTCCGGAGCGTGGAGAGGGACCTAAGCATCGATCCCCGGCAGCTGGCGCCGGCCCTGAGGGGCACCCACGTGGTAGCCCTGGTGCCTGCGCGCTGGCTGGCCAGCCTCCGCGATCGCCGGCTGCCCCCGGGCCCCTGTCCCCGCGCCGAGGGCCTGGCAGAAGCGGAAGTCCGGACTCTCCTGCAGCGCTCGGTGCAAAGGCTGCCCCCCGGCTGGACGCGCGTGGAGGTGCACGGGCTGCGGAAGCGGAGACTGTCCTACCCTCTGGGAGGGGGCCTGGCCTCGGAGGACGGGTCCTGCAGCCCCGAGACTCTCATGCGCTTCATGCAGGACGTCGCTGCCCAGAATTACCGCAACCTGTGGCGCCACGCATACCAGAGGTACGCGCAGCCCTACAGTCGCAGCCCTGCGCCCTCGGCAGCCCCTGCCTTGGAGTCAGTACGGCAGGCTCTGCAGAGGGTCTACGGTTGCTCCTTCCTGCCAGTGGGTGAAGCCACCCAGTGCCCATCACATGCCAGAGAAGGTCCCTGCCCCCCTCGGGGCGGCCCTGCTTGCCCCAGTCTTTTACGGGCTGAGGCCTTGCTGGAGTCTCCGGAGATGCTGTATGTGGTTCACCCTCACCTGCCGTTCTCCCTCCATGACGTGGTCACCTTCAGCCCCGCCAAGCTGACCAACAGCCAGGCCAAGGTGCTGTTCATTCTCTTCCGTGTGCTGAGGGCCATGGATGCTTGTCACCGCCAGGGCCTGGCGTGCGGGGCCCTGTCTCTGCACCACATCGCGGTGGATGAGAAGCTTTGCAGCCAGCTGCGGCTGGACCTGAGTGCCTATGAGAGGCCCGAGGAGGATGAGAGCCAGGAGGCCCTAGTGGCAAGGGGTGAGGCGGGCAGGAAGTCTGAGGAGGAGCGGGCAGGGCAGCCTGGGCCACCCCCCTGTCAGGAGGAACTTGGTGGCCTGGTGCTAGACTGGGTGCACGGCCGCATCAGCAACTTCCACTACCTCATGCAGCTGAATCGGTTGGCCGGCCGGAGGCCGGGAGACCCCAACTACCACCCCGTGCTGCCCTGGGTGGTGGACTTCACCACGCCACATGGGCGCTTCCGAGACCTGCGCAAGTCCAAGTTCCGTCTCAACAAGGGGGATAAGCAGCTGGACTTCACCTACGAGATGACGCGGCAGGCGTTTGCGGCAGGGGGCACGGGCGGCGGGGAACCCCCCCACGTTCCCCACCACATCTCGGACGTGCTGTCAGACATCACATACTACGTATACAAGGCTCGGCGCACTCCTCGCGCTGTGCTCTGCGGACACGTGCGGGCGCAGTGGGAGCCGCATGAGTATCCGGCCAGCATGGAGCGGATGCAGAGCTGGACCCCCGACGAGTGTATCCCCGAGTTCTACAGCGACCCCTCCATCTTCCACTCCATCCACCCCGACATGCCTGACCTGGACGTGCCGTCCTGGTGCGGCTCCAGCCAGGAGTTCGTGGCTGCCCACCGAGCCCTGCTGGAGAGCTGGGAGGTGTCCCAGGACCTGCACCACTGGATCGACCTTACGTTTGGCTACAAACTCCAGGGCAAGGAGGCGGTCAAGGAGAAGAACGTGTGTCTGCACCTGGTGGACGCCCACACGCACCTGGCCAGCTACGGGGTGGTGCAGCTCTTTGACCAGCCTCATCCGCAGCGCCTGGCCGGGACTCTTGCCCTCCTGCCGGAGCCTCCACTCATCCCCAGGCTGTTAATCCAGACCATCCAGGAGACAGAGGGCCGGGAGGACCCGGGACAGCTTCCAAATGGGGTGGGCCAGCCAGTTTTAGAGGCCATTCCCTGCGAGGCTACCTGGGCCAGAGACAGGCCAGTGGCAGGAGAAGAGGACTTGGAGCAGGCCACAGAGGCTCTGGATTCCATTTCCGTTGCTGGGAAATCGGGGGACCAGCTGGCCACCTCCTCCGGCCAGGCAGCCCCTAGCCTTCTGTCTTTCTCGGTGGCCTCAGCCTCTCGTCCAGGCCGAAGGAATAAAGCTGCTGGGGCAGACCCTGGGGAGGGTGAGGAGGGAAGGATTCTTCTTCCCGAGGGCTTCCACCCCATGCAGGCCCTGGAGGAGCTGGAGAGAACAGGCAACTTCCTGGCCAAGGGCCTCGGGGGCCTGTGGGAGGTGCCTGAGCAGCCCCAGGGTCGGCCAGCCATGCCGCTGCAGCACCTGTTCCACAGGGACATGCAGGCACTGGGAGTCCTGTTGGCAGAGATGGTGTTTGCCTCCAGGGTGCGGACGCTGCAGCCTGATGCACCTCTGTGGGTGCGCTTCCAGGCCGTACGGGGACTCTGCACGCGCCACCCTAGGGAGGTCCCTGTGTCTCTGCAGCCCGTGCTAGATATACTCTTGCAGCTGAGTGGCCCCGAAGGCCCCCTGGGAGCAGAGAGGGGCAAGCTGGACCGGCTGTTCGAGTACAGGCCTGTCTCCCAGGGACTGCCTCCGCCCTGCCCGGGCCAGCTGCTCAGCCCCTTCAGCTCCGTGGTTCCCTTCCCGCCCTACTTCCCCGCGCTGCACAGATTTATCCTCCTGTACCAGACGAGGCGTGTGGAGGACGAGGCACAGGGGCGTGAGCTGGTGTTCACTCTGTGGCAGCAGCTGGGTGCAGTGCTAAGTGACATCACCCCTGAGGGCCTGGAGATCCTGCTGCCCTTTGTGCTGTCACTCATGTCCGAGGAGCACACGGCCGTGTACACTGCCTGGTACCTGTTCGAACCGGTTGCCAAGGCACTGGGCCCCAAAAATGCCAACAAGTACCTCCTGAAGCCTCTCATCGGTGCCTATGAGAGCCCCTGCCAGCTCCACGGCCGCTTCTACCTGTACACTGACTGCTTTGTGGCCCAGCTGATGGTGCGGCTGGGGCTGCAGGCCTTCCTCACTCACCTGCTGCCCCACGTCCTGCAGGTGCTGGCAGGCACAGAGGCCTCCCAGGAGGAGACCAAGGACCTGGTGGCGGCTGCTGAGGACGAGGAAAGCGGGCTGCCCGGGGCCGGGCCAGGATCCTGTGCTTTTGGGGAGGAGATTCCCATGGATGGGGAGCCTTCTGCCTCCTCGGGCCTGGGGCTCCCAGACTACACGTCTGGCGTCAGCTTCCACGACCAGGCTGACCTCCCTGAGACAGAGGACTTCCAAGCCGGGCTCTATGTAACTGAGTCTCCCCAGCCCCAGGAGGCTGAGGCTGTGAGCCTGGGCCGGCTGAGTGACAAGAGCAGCACCAGCGAGACCTCCCTGGGTGAGGAGCGGGCTCCAGACGATGGGGCTGCCCCCATGGACAAGAGCAGCCTCCGATCAGGCGACAGCAGCCAGGACTTGAAGCAAAGCGAGGGCTCAGAGGAGGAAGAGGAGGAGGACGGCTGCGTGCTGTTAGAGGAGGAGGAGGGGGAGCAGGAGGAGGTCACTGGGGCATCTGAGCTCACTCTGTCCGACACGGTGCTGTCCATGGAGGCGGTTGTGGCCGGCAGCAGTGGGGGAGACGGGGAAGGACAGGAGGAGCCGCTGCCAGAGCAGTCAGAAGGCAAAGAGCAGAAGATCCTCCTTGGTGAGTTCCCCGGTCTGGGGGGTGTCTGCCAAAATACCTCCTACTTCTCCTTGCACCCTTGCAGAACACCTACTCTGTGCCAAACAGTGGATCGAGCCAGGTCTACCTGCAACACAGATGCAGGCCTGCCTTCAAGCAGCTCACACCCAGCAGACGAGAGGCTGCAGTGTAGGCGGTCTTAAGCACGTGTGTTATGTTAGTGCCATAAAGAACACGGCTGCGTTCTTACTAGGGAGTGGAACTTGGTGCTCTTCAGCTGGGCGCGGTGGCTCATACCTGTAATCTCAGCACTTTGGGAGGCTGAGGAGGGAGGTTCACTCGAGGTCAGGAGTTTGAGACAAGCCTGGCCAACATGGTGAAACCCCATCTCTCCTAAAAATACCAAAATTAGCCGGGTGTGGTGGTAGGTGCCTGTAGTCTCACCTACTCAGGAGGCTGAGGCCGGAGAATCATTCGAACCTGGGAGGTGGAGTTTGCGGTGAGCTGAGATTGTGCCGTTGCACTCTAGCCTGGGCAACAGAGTGAGACTCCAAAAAAAAAAAAAAAAGCTGCTGTTCCGTCTGGTTTTCAGGGGTCAGAACAGGCTTCCTTAAACACAGGGACAGTTGAGGTTCAAGCAGGAGTCAGAAGTAGGAAGGCAAAAACGGGCAAAAAAAAAAATTCTGAAGGCGAGGGAACAGCATGTGTGAGGCTGTGAGGTGGTTACGTTCCATTAAAGAGGGGAAGCAGGGAAAGGCCAGTATGGGGAGACTGAGGGAGTGGAGGGAAGAGAGGCTGGAGGGAGGGAGCCACGGCCAGCCCGGCCTTGTTAAGGAGCTTCAGAAGACCCACTGGAAGGAAACGTGCTGCACGTGGTGTCTGAGGCGGGGAGGCCAGGCCTGGGCAGCTCTGCCGCTGTTGCGTGAAGGGGGTGATGTGGGGCCGCTGCCTGGGCTGGGCTCTGGATACAGCTGCGGCCGGGGTGGTTGAGTGGGGTGCCGTGGGGCGGGGTGGCAGGGGTGATGAGCCCTGCTATCTGAGGTGCTCAAGGCCTGCTCCCGCTCCCAGATACAGCCTGCAAGATGGTCCGCTGGCTGTCTGCCAAGCTCGGCCCCACAGTGGCCTCCCGCCACGTGGCCCGGAACCTGCTGCGCCTGCTGACGTCTTGTTATGTTGGTAAGGAGGCCTGCGGTTGGTGCTGGAGACGGGGCTTCTCCCCGGCCCTCTGCCCATCTCCAGCCCTCTCCAGCGGGGATCCCTCCCAGCCCTCCCTCAAACCACCTCCTGGCGGGTCCTGGGTCCCGGTCTGTAAGTGGCCACCTTGGGTAGGGCTGGGGCAGACCACAGGCTGGTGGAGCTCACGTGGCCAGCACAGCTCTGCAGGGCCAGCCCCTCCCGCCCACCACTGGCGACTCAGGGCTGCTGGGCCTTCCTCGGCAGGGCCCACGCGGCAGCAGTTCACTGCCAGCAGTGGCGACAGCCCCTCACTGAGCGCCGGCAACATCTATCAGAAGCGGCCAGTGCTGGGCGACGTGGCGTCAGGGCCGGTGCTCAGCTGCCTCCTGCACCTTGCGCACCTGTATGGGGAGCCCGTCCTCACCTACCAGTACCTGCCCTACATCAGCTACCTGGTCAGTTGCTGGCTGGGCAGCCCGGGCTGGGAAGGCTGAGGACCTGAGGGCCAGCCCGGGGCCTCTGGGGTCCCAGGGGTCTGTGGGGCTGCCTGGCCCTCATCTGCTCGGTGGCCCTAGGTGGCCCCAGGGAGCGCCTCAGGCCCCAGCCGACTCAACAGCCGTAAGGAGGCAGGGCTGCTGGCCGCAGTGACGCTGACTCAGAAGATCATTGTGTACCTCTCGGACACCACGCTCATGGACATCCTGCCCCGGATCAGCCACGAGGTCCTGCTGCCCGTGCTCAGCTTCCTCACGTCCCTCGTCACAGGGTAGGCCCCGCCCCACCCGATGCAGGGGGAGCTGCCCAGTGGAGGGGCTCCCGGGAGGGGATGGGAAGCTTAGTGGAGAGGAGCCAACACTGGGCGAGGCAGCAGGAGTCCTGGTTTTGAGCCCGACTGTGTGACCCTGAGCAAGCCACACCCTTTTCCTGTGCCTCAGTTTCCTCAAAGACCAGTTGGTCTTTGAGCTTGTTTCATTTAAAGCTTTTGATATGGCTGGGTGAGGTAGCTCACGCCTGTAATCCCAGCACTGTGAGAGGCCGAGGCAGGAAGATTGCTTAAGTCCAGGAGTTCAAGACCAGCCTGGGCAACAAAGTGAGATCTCATCTCTAAGAATATAGGCCAAGTGTGGGTGAATCAGTTGAGGTCAGGAGTTCAAGACCAGCCAGGCCAACATGGTGAAACCCCATCCCTACTAAAAATACAAAAAAAGTTAGCACCTGTAGTCACAGCTACTTGGGAGGCTGAGGCAGCAGAATCACTTGAACCTGGGAGGCGGAGGTTGCAGTGAGCTGAGATCCCATCACTGCACTCCAGCCTGGGTGACAGAGCGATACTCCATCTCAGTCAATCAATCAGTAAAGGTTTTGATAGATTCTGGCCACGTCCTGCAGAGCTGGGGGCTGGAGCTCATGAGCTCTGTCTCCAGGTTCCCAAGCGGCGCCCAGGCGCGGACCATCCTGTGTGTGAAAACCATCAGCCTCATCGCTCTCATCTGCCTGCGTATTGGACAGGAGATGGTCCAGCAGCACCTGAGCGAGCCGGTGGCCGCCTTCTTTCAGGTCTTCTCTCAGCTGCATGAGCTTCGGCAGCAGGTGTGCGGACCTGCGAGGCAAGGCGGGCCGGGGTGGGGCCATGGACCCGGCTGACCCCCAACCCCCGTGCGTCTTGTTTACAGGATCTGAAGCTGGACCCCACAGGCCGCAGTGAGGGCCAGCTGCCAGAGGTGGTCTTCTCCGATGGGCAGCAGCGGCCTGTGGACCCCACCCTGCTGGACGAGCTGGAGAAGGTGTTCACCCTGCAGATGGCGTACACAATCTACGTGCCCTTCTCCTGCCTGTTGGGTACTACCCCGTTGCGTCCCCTTACTCAGCCTTTGTGGCTGGCTCCTCCCTTGGGAGGCCCTGTTCTCTGCCCTTCCCCCAAAGTCCACAGTGGGTTCTAAGCAGCTTTTTGGGTGACAGCAAAGGGATTTGGCCTCAGACTCCTACCCCCAAGGGGACATACAAACAGGGACTGGGCATTAGCTAGCAAGAGGGGCCTAGGAGTTGGCCTGCAGTGTCCCTGGGGAAGGCAGGAGAGGCAGGGCGGTGGATTGGCGGTCTCTGGGAGTGGGTGAGACGGAAGGAGTGGCCTCCTGTTTCTGAAGCTTCCCCGGGCCTGCTGAGTGCTGTGCTGATTGGTGCAGGGTGTATCATCTCCCCGGAGAGGACCAGCAGCCCTGTGGTTAGACGTGTGATCGCCCCAACACTGAAATCTAAGCTTTGGGAGGGCAGTGCCCCACCTGGCTTGTTCTGTGTTCTATTTCTAGTGCCCAGTGTGGCACAGCACATATAGAAGACGCTCATGTGTATATCACAACAGAATGAACCGATATTTCACTGGAGAGGAAGCAGGCTCAGAGACACAGTTACTTGCCCAGAGTTGCACAGCCAGTACCTGCCCCATCTTCTGTGGTTCCCGAGTCCTCGGATGGGTGATGGCTGCCACCCGCCGTCCTCCCTAATCTCAGAACTTGTACCACTCCCATCCAGGTGACATCATCTGGAAAATCATCCCCAACCACGAGCTGGTTGGGGAGCTGGCAGGGCTGTACCTGGAGAGCATCAGCCCGAGCAGCCACAGCCCTGCCAGTGTGGAGCCCACCGTGCCCAGTATGGGCCCTGAGTGGGACCCCCAGGGCGGACGCTGCCCCCAGGACGACGGCCACTCGGGAACCTTTGGGAGCGTCCTGGTGGGGAATCGCATCCAGATCCCCGCTGACTCTCAGCCCGAGAGCCCCGGGCCACTGGGCCCCATCTCGGGGGCGGGCAGCGGGAGTGAGGACAACGCCCTGAAGCAGGAGCTGCCTCGGAGCGCCCACGGGCTGAGTGGAAATTGGCTGGCCTACTGGCAGTACGAGATCGGCGTGAGCCAGCAGGATGCCCACTTTCACTTCCACCAGATCCGCCTGCAGAGCTTCCCAGGGCACTCGGGGGCTGTCAAGTGTGTGGCCCCCCTGAGTGGCGAGGACTTCTTCCTGAGTGGCAGCAAGGACCGGACTGTGCGCCTCTGGCCGCTGTACAACTACGGGGACGGCACCTGCGAGACGGCCCCGCGCCTGGTCTATACCCAGCACCGCAAGAGTGTCTTCTTCGTGGACCAGCTCGAGGCCCTGCAGCATGTGGTGAGCTGTGACGGGGCTGTGCACGTCTGGGACCCCTTCACAGGTGAGCAGGCCCAGCTGCGGCCTGTTCTGGGGATGCTCCTGTGGCTGCCAGGCTTCTGGGAAGGGGGCCCGGGGGTGGGGGTGTTATGCCCCGGAGTCTGCCTAGAAGAACAGTTAGCGCTCAGAATCTGTTCTGCTTGGGTCTGTGTCGGCTCCACTGGCTTAGCTGCTGAGTGGCCCCGAGCGAGGGCCTGTTGCTGAAGCGTCCGCTGCCGTCTAAGCTGAGAGCTCACGAAGGGTTTTGGCTTCAGGTGTGGCAGATGGTATTTATTTTGCCAATGGTGACTTATTTTTTGGCATCATCATAGGAAGAAATAAGGTTAAAAGGGGGAAAGGGGTAGTGTCGGGGCAGACAGAGGGAGGGGGCACTGGGTCAGCGGCGCTGTGCAGAGAGAGGAGGTTGCTTTGGGGATGGGAGCCTGGCCTGGCCATGGAGGCAGGAAGGAGGGGGAGAGTTAGGAAACATGTTTAAGCCAGACGCGGTGGCTCACACCTGTAATCCCAGCACTTTGGGAGGCCAGGAGTTTGAGACCTGCCTGGCCAACATGGTGAAACCCTGTCTCTACTAAAAATACAAAAAAATTAGTGGGGCATGGAGCTGGGTGCCTATAATCCCAGCTACTTGGGAGGCTGAGGCAGGAGTATTGCTTGAACCCGGGAGGTGGAGGTTGCAGTGAACCGAGGTTGCACCACTGCACTCCAGCCTGGGCGACAGAGCAAGACTCCGTCTTCAGCATTTCCTAAGGCTCTCTGGGGGCTGGAAGGCAGGTTTGGGGTGAGCTGGGGGGTTAGAAGCGGCTGGAGCTCTTCCAGCAGCTGCTGGCCCCAGATCCACTGGCCTCTCCTCCCCAGGGAAAACTCTTCGCGCAGTGGAGCTGCTGGACAGCCGGGTGCCCCTCACGGCAGTGGCTGTCATGCCCGCCCCCCACACCAGCATCACCATGGCCAGTTCCGATTCCACCCTGCGCTTTGTGGACTGCAGGAAGCCTGGCCTGCAGGTCAGGGGGCATCCAGGGCCCTGAGCTCTCGCCTGGTTCTCTGGGGACCTGGCAGGGAGGAGAGACTCCCCAAAAACAGAAAGCCAGGATGTTGTTGGGGCGCTTTACTTTATCCTTGGTGCCAGCTCACCCATAGCGGCACCTCCTGGGGGGCAGGACCCCGGCCTGTGAGGGGGGTGGGGTTCTGGCTTGTCCTGTCCCTCCATGAGGGTCCCAGGTCAGGCCTTCCTGCCGTGTGGGCTGCGGTGGTGGGCAGGGCCTCGGGGAGGGGGTCAGAAGGTCAGGCCTCAGCTCAATCGTCCTCTGTCTGCAGCATGAGTTCCGCCTGGGCAGTGGGCTGAACACTGGGCTTGTCCGCTCCCTGGCAGTCAGCCCCAGTGGCCGGAGCATCGTGGCTGGCTTCTCCTCGGGCTTCATGGTGCTCCTGGACACCCGAACAGGCCTGGTTCTGCGAGGCTGGCCAGCCCATGAAGGGGACATTCTGCAGATCAAGGTGATGGGCTGGGTCCCCTTCCCCTTACCACCCAGCCCCCGTCCCTGTCCGGTTATCACCCCTGCTTGGGGCCTGCCTGCCTGGGGACAGGCTCCAGCCGGTGTGTCTTATATACCTGGCGGAGGATCAATGGGCAGGGAGGGAGGAGCAGGTCTTGCAGCAGGGGGCTCGGCAGGTGGCAGGCCGTGGGGGCAGGAGCCACAGGGGCTGAGCTGACCCTGTCAGATGTTCTAATGAGTAACCCTTGTCCATATTTGTCTTGTTAGGAGGATCAGGGGTCAGGCCCTGTCCGTGACCCAGTTCGGGTTAAATAAGCTCAGCTGGGAGGCTGTTTACTGCCCACAGACCACTGAGCAGAGTCCACGGCCTGCTGGGCCACCCCGGCGAAGGCAGGGGTACACCTGAGTATGGGGATCCTGCCCCTGCCTCCTCCCCTCCCCCACCCCCGTTCTCAATCACAGGCCTCAGGGAGCTGCTCAGGGAGGCCCAGGAGGGGAGGATTTCTGCAGACAGCTGGGGCTTTCCTCCCATCGTGGCTGGAGGCCAGGCAACGTGCGTGGCCCCACTTACAACAGGCTGTGGCTGGCTCCCTCCCGGGCCCTGGGAACCCTGAGCTCCAGGGGCCTCTAAATTCTAACTTTCCAAGAGTGTGTCAGGAGGCTCTGGGGTCAGCCTGGGTGTTAATCCTGGCTCTGCTGCTTCCTGGCCCCATGACCATGATGTGGTTATGTCACGTCTCTGAGCCTCAGTTTTCCTCTCTGTAAAATGGGAACAATGGCCGCACCCACCGCATAGGGTTGCTATGAAGGTCACGTGTGGTCACGTGCTCGCTCAGCACAGTGCTTGTAAATAGTTCTCAAGTTAGAGTGACCACTGGGTTACTGACGCTGAGTGTGTTCAAATGAACCAGGCTGAGTATGGCATGGGAGGGTGGCAGCCTGTCACCCACCCAGGACGGCCTGTCTTCCTAGAGAGACTGCAGAGGGAAATGAAGGTCTCAGGGCTCTGGGGTATGCAGAAGGACCGGGGTCTGGGCTGAGGCTCCCCTCTCCTGGGACAGGCGGTGGAGGGCAGCGTCCTGGTCAGCTCCTCCTCTGACCATTCCTTGACTGTCTGGAAAGAGCTGGAGCAGAAGCCCACGCATCACTACAAGTCGGCGTCCGACCCCATCCACACCTTTGATCTGTACGGCAGCGAGGTGGTCACTGGCACCGTGTCCAACAAGATAGGCGTCTGTTCCCTGCTGGAGCCGCCCTCCCAGGCCACCACGAAGCTCAGTTCTGAGAACTTCCGTGGCACGCTCACCAGCCTGGCCTTGCTGCCCACCAAACGCCACCTCCTACTGGGCTCCGACAACGGGGTTATCCGCCTCCTGGCATAGGCTGGGGCCAGAGCTGGCCAGGCAAGGGTGGGGAAGGCATCCCCCGGCGGGGTGAATGCTCGCCCTGTTTCCCAGCAGCAGCTCCCTCCAGGGAGTCGCTGGGCCCCACACCCTGGGTGCTCACATGGCCTGCCAACCAGGACCCCCAACTGGGGTCTGGGAGTCCTGACCCCTGAATCGCCAGAGCCAGCAAGGCTGCCAGAGGGGTCTCATTCATGGCCTGGGGCCACACTGCTCCTAGCAAGCGGGAAGTGAGAGCAGGAGGAAGGACGGCCGCCTTCACTTCTCCCCAGCTCTGCCCTGTGGTCCACGTGAGGACAGGGAAGCTTGGCCCTGCCTGGTCAGTCTCTAGCCCCTCAGCCCCTGCTGGGTGCTCTCTGCCCCATCCCTCCAGGACGGGGGGCTGCCCCAGTCCAGGGTACTGATGGTGCTTGGATTCCAGCCTGAGGAGGCTGGCCACAGTCCAGGAGCTAAGCGCCTTGGTCTGCGGTTCAAGTGTTCACCCATTCAGGGTCTGGCCATGGTGGGACCAGGAGGGGAAGGAGGAAAGAGAAGGTGCCCTCTGCCAGCGGCCCTTTGCCTCCAGGAGTGAGCCCATGCCTCGCCTCTCACCCCTAACCACAGTGTTTGTGCCTTGAGCTGAGGAGGCAGCCTTTGGGCCCTGAAATCCTGCTGGGCTTCATGACCCTGAGGGGAGGGGTGAGAAGAACCATCTCTGTGCCTCAGCCTCACATTCGAGAATGGAGCTGAAGCCTGGGATGGCACCTGCTGCCTCCTCACAATTTGCAATAGATGTAAATATGACCAATAAATCCTCTGGAAGGGCCATGGGATGAACTGTGGCTTGTCTTGTGTGTTTTTCCAAGAGTTGCAGCCTCACCGTCCCATCCCGGGTCTGTAAGGTATGTGGCCCAAGCTGGCCTCCAACTCCTGGGCTCAATCGACCCTCCCGTTTTGGCCTCCCAAACTTAGGATTACAGGTGTGAGCCACCATGCCCAGCCTGAGGCTTATCTCGATGGTGGGCAAGGGGAGACCTGGCAGTTTCCAGGGCAGTTAAGAGCCGCCCATGGGGGTGGGAGGCAGCCTGATCGGCATGGGCTGCAAGCCTTCTGGTTCATGCAGCCTACTCAGGTGTGTTTCCAGGACCCTCACTCTGGGTTAGGGGAAAGAGACACTGCTGTGGGGAGGCAGGACACAGAGAGGTGACCCCTCCCATCTCTCCTCCCTCACCCCTGCCTTCCAGGCTTGGTCTGAAGGCAGCCAACTTGGATCTGGGCTTGTAAGGTGGAGTGGGCGTTCCATTCCAGGTCTATAAGGTGAGGTGGGTGTCCCATCCTGGGTCCATAAGGTGAGGTGGGCGTCCCATCCTGGGTCTGTAAGGTGGGGGTGGGCATTCTATCCCGGGTCTGTAAGGTGGGGGTGGGCGTCCCATCCCGGATCTGTAAGAAGAGGTGGGCGTCCCATCCTGGGTCTGTAAGGTGAGGGTGGGTGTCCCATCCCACGTCCGTAAGGTGAGGTGGGCATCCCATCCCGGATCTGTAAGGTGGGCGTCCCATCCCGGGTCCATAAGGTCAGGTGGGCATCCCATCCCGGGTCTGTAAGGTGGGCATCTCATCCTGGGTCTGTAAGGTGGGCATCCCATCCCAAGTCTGTAAGGTGAGGGTGGGCGTCCCATCCCGGGTCTGTAAGGTGGGGGTGGGCATTCTATCCCGGGTCTGTAAGGTGGGGGTGGGTGGACACCCAGGTCCAGCCTCTTCATCTCTCTCCTCCTGAACCTCTTTCCAGGCTCAGGTGGGACCCAAATCCATGGGGTCCTGCCTCAGGATCACACGCCTGGGGGAAAGGGGCTTCAGGCTTCAAGATCAATGTTTAACCGGATGTGCCAGTCAATGTTTACCAGAAGAGAAAGCACTCTCCACGGGGTTGGCTGAGAGTAAAGGTCCCGGTGGGCGGAGGGGTGGGCCGGGCCGGCCGGAGCCTGTGCAGAGGGTGGGGAGCACCCAAGTGGGGCCAGAGGAACTTCGAGTGCAGCAGCAAGGAGCCGGCAGAGGTACGGGGGAGGTGGGTGGCTCGGCCTGCTCCCTGGGCGGCAGAGGAGGCAGGGAGCTGTCTTCCCCACTGAGGGGTCTGGGCTGGATTGATTCCGGCCTGTCACTCCCCAGCCTCCTCTGGCAGTGCGGAGCCAAGGCGGGGGCTCCGGGAGAAGTACCTCTGGGACCCAAAACACTGGAGCCTGTTCTTGGCAAGAAGATTCAAACGCCCAGGTCCGAGATGGTGCCTGGTCAGAGCGCTTGTGTGCAATAGGGGTGGGGCCAGGGGCCACAGAAGGACCCTCGGAAGGATTGGCCCTGAGATGGGGTTGGGGGGAGGCTGTAACACCTGCTCTGGCTTGTCCTCCTGAGACCCACCCCTGCCCTTCCCAGAGCCAGCATGGTCAGGGTCACGGTCTGTGATTCTCCTAAGTCCACAGGCGGCTCTGGCCGGAGTCATTCACTGGGCTCTGCTGCTGGGTCAGAAGGCAGCTCTCCAGTCGCCTCGCCAGCCCTGCTGAGACCTCAGGGCCTCAGAAATATGTCCAGCCTTGTAGGCAAGACCTGATGGGCCTGAAAAGACTGGCTCAGAGGACACAGCAGGTTGGGCGGGAGCTCTGGGGTGGAGGCTTTAGGGCAGGCTTCCCGGAAGAGGCGGCCTTGAGCCAAGCCGAACCCAGCCATCGGTGAGTGCCAAGCATTGTGCTCACAGTTTACAAAGACAGCCTTATTTTATCTTCCTTTTTTGAGACAGAGTCTCACTCTGTCATCCAGGCTGGAGTGCAGTGGCGTGATCTCGGCTCACTGCAACCTCCACCTCCCAGGTTCAAGCGATTCTCCTGCCTCAGCTTCCCGAGTAGCTGGGATTACAGGCTTATGCCACCACGCCCAGCTAATTTTTGTATTTTTAGTAGAGATGGGGTTTCTCCATGTTGGCCAGGCTGGTCTCGAACACCTGACCTCAGGTGATCCATCTGCCTCAGCCTCCCAAAGTGGTGGGATGACAGGCGTGAGCCACCGTGCCCGGCCACACAGACGGCCTTGTTTTGGTCCTCACCGAGCATGCGAGAGGACTGAGGGACTCAGGCCACCATTTTATTTTTATTTTTATTTATTCTATTTTATTTTTTTTTTTGAGACAGAGTTTCGCTGTTGTTACCCAGACTGGAGTGAATGGCGTGATCTCGGCTCACCACAAACTCCACCTCCTGGGTTCAAGCAATTCTCCTGCCTCAGCATCCTGAGTAGCTGGCACTACAGGTGCGTACCACCATGCCCAGCTAATTTTTGTATTTTTAGTAGAGACGGGGTTTCGCCTTGTTGACCAGGATGGTCTCAATCTCTTGGCCTCGTGATCCACCCGCCTCGGCCTCCCAAAGTGCTGGGATTATAGGCATGAGCCACCTCGCCTGGCCTTCAGGCCACCATTTTAAAGGTAACGCCAAGCCTGGTGGGGTTACAGGGAGTGCCGAGGTCCTTTGCAAGAGGCAGTCTGGATTGAGATGCAAGTCTGCTCAGTGCAGGGCCTGGAAGGAGGGGAACGTTTTTGTTTTGCTATTTCCCTCCTATTAACCAAAACACTTTTAGTGCACGGAATGTGAAAGACCAGAAACTAAGGGGGAAGGAGCTGGGAGGGCTGTCCTGCCCCACAGGAGGGGAGCCGCTGCATGAGTGCTGTTCTCACTCTGGAACCTGCTTCTTCCCCTGGGCGCTGGTGACTCGGTGTCTGTGAGCGTGTGGGTAGGAGTCCCTGGCGGGCGTGGGGACAGAGATGGTAACATACCTTCTGTCCCTGCCACAGGAACATGGTGCTGCTCTGGGGGCTCCTGCTGCTCAGCTCCTGCTCCATGGTGAGGCTGGGCTGACGTCCAGGTGGGGCGGGCGGAGGGGGAGAAGAGGGGCACTTGTGTGGAGGGAGGGCTTGGCTTCCAGGGGGCCCTCCTAGCCTCACCCCTTTTTCTACAGTTCTCCCCTGTGAGCGCCATGGAGCCCGTGGGCCAGCAGGTACTGGGAAGCGAGGAGCCCTAACGGGGAAGGCCCTGGGGTCTCACCAGTGGCCTGGGCAGGGTGGGGCCTTGTGGGAGGGTCACACTCCAGCTGCTTCCTCCGTTCTGCAGCTAACTATGGGGCCAACCCAGAAGAAGGTGCTCCCGCTTACCTTCCTCAAGCTGGACAACCAGGTAACCAGGTGGGGCTGGGGAAGAGTGGGCGGGGCTAGCGGAAGGCAGCCGCAGCAGCAGGGCGGCGGGCGTACCAAGGCCAAGGCTCTGGAATCTGGAGGCCAGGAGGGACAGAGGGTGGGGAGGACCATAGGTGGGCGCCAGGCCCCAGAATGCCAGTGCCCTCCGTCAGACACCCCCTCTCCCCTTGGGCTGTGACCAGGCCCTACTGTCCTCAGGACCTGCAACACAGAACCTGGAGCTGACCCCTTGATCTCTCTGCCCCCCATCTGTCCCCGCAGGAGCCTGGTGGCCGGACTGCCCCTAAGAGTCCCCCAAGAGACTGCAGCGGAGAACCCACCCCACAGCAGACCCACAGTCTGGCCCAGGCCATGATGGCCTTCACTGCTGACCTGTTTTCCCTGGTGGCTGAAACCTCCACCAGCCCCAACCTCATCCTGTCACCCCTCAGTGTGGCCCTGGCGCTGTCTCACCTGGCACTAGGTACCCTGGAACCACTTGTCCAGACAAAGAGAGATGGGAGGCCAGTAGGAACATGGTACTCCAGGGGTTCTCCAAGGGTACCTCCTCCACCAGGCTGCTGGGTTAAAAACTGCAGATTCCCAGGCTCCCACCCGTCGGTCTGTGTGCATCAGATCTCAGGGACTGGGCAGGGGAATCTGCTTATTTACAAGTCTTCCAGGTGATTTGTTTGTTAGTTTGTCTGAGCAGAGTCTCGCTCTGTCGCCCATGCTGGAGTGCTATGGTGCAATCTTGGCTCACCACAAACTCCGCCTCCTGGGTTCAAGTGATTCTCCTGCCTCAGCCTCCAGAGTAGCCGGGATTATAGGCATCTGCCACCACACCAGGCTAATTTTTGTATTTTTAGTAGAGACAGGGTTTCACCCTGTTGGCCAGGCTGGTCTCAAACTCCTGACCTCAGGTGATCCACCTGCCTCGGCCTCCTGAAGGGATTATAGACATGAGCCACTGTGCCTGGCCTCTCCTGGTGATTTTTACGTGACAGTTTGATAGCTGTACTCTCTCCCATTGTGCTGGAGGGTTTTGCTCTGGGAAACGGAAGCCCAGAGAGGGAAGGTCACTTGAGAGACGTGAGGTCACCCAGGCTGTCAGCCACGGGGGAAAGACTCAGTCATGCAGAGCAGAACCGTGGCTGTGGGAGGGCACTGTGCGGTCCTGTGGGCATGCTCATCACAGGTATCCAGGAGGGACTGGAGCAGGCAGTGGGGGTGAGAAAGGGCCCCAGCAGGCCTCAGCCGGTGCACTGCCCTCCAGGTGCTCAGAACCACACGCTGCAGAGGCTGCACCAGGTGCTGCATGCCGGCCCTGGGCCCTGCCTTCCCCATCAGCTGAGCCGCCTCTGCCAGGGCCTGGGCACCGGCACCTTCCGACTGGCCGCCAGGATGTACCTGCAGAAAGGTGGGTGCTGAGGCCGGGGACCCTCCATCCTGACCTGGGGTGAAGGAGGGTGAGAGACAGGGGCTGGGCCTCCGGCAGCGGGTAGGAGCATGGCTGACCGTGGAGCCTGAGTCCCAGGGACAGCCTGTGCTCCCTGTGTGCAGGATTTCCCATCAAAGAAGAGTTCCTGGAACAATCAGAACAGATATTTGGTACAAAGCCTGTGAG